AGAGTCGTGATATTCTGCGTCAAGCTGCAAAAGTCGTGATGTTTCTCCAAGTTGCAATTTGGGAGCAGGTCTATCACAAGCTATTTTGCCTAAATATTTTGAGTGGTAGAAAACCGGGTGAAAGCCCCATGAAGGTCTTAAACTTAATGAAACAAACAAAATATAGGTATGAAAATAATAGCTAATAGCTTGATATCACACCCAATATCTCCAACCACATGCACCCTTTGTGTATATATATCACCACAATCTCAGTGTCTAAATTGTTGCTGCCATTCTTTTCTCATCTTGCATGTGCACCATAGCAGATGGTTTAGAGTTGGGTTTGATTAGCTCGATGATGAATTGAGTAGAAGAATACAGTATTAGCTGGTGAGGTCACAGGGCATCGAGATCATACTGCATAGTCAGCCTCTCGGCAGTGCTCTTCCTCACGGACTGCCTGACCAAGCGCTCCTTGAGCAGCCCTGCGGCCAGCCCCTTCTCCCCCTCACGCACCAGACCCTGCACCAGAATCGCATACGTGGCCTCGGTCGGCATTCGCCCCTTCTCCACCATCTCAATCGCCACCTCCAACCCAACCTCCGTCCTCCCGCGCTTGCACAGCCCCACCAACAGGGTGTTGTAGTGGCCCACGTCCGCCTCCTCCATCGCCCGCACCACCCCAACGGCGGCCTCCACCATTCCTTCAAAGCACAGCCCCCTTATAATTGCCGAGTACGTGCAAGACTCTGGCTCGAACCCCTCGTCTGCCACCACCATCTGCTCAAGCAGCTCCAGGGCCGCCTCCGTTTTCTTCTTCCCGCACAGCACCCTCACCACATTCCTGTAGAATCCACCCCCCTCCCCGCAAGGATCCAGCCATGCTCGTAATCTCTGGAAGATTGAAAACGCCTCCTCCACCATGCCCTCGTTACACAGCGTGGCGATCGCGCAGTAAGTCAACTCGTTCGGGATGCAATTCTTCGATTTCATCTCGTCTAGACATTTCAAAACCGCATCGACTCTCCTTTCTTTGCATAGGCGGGTGAGGACTGGATTGTAGCTGTCTGCATCTGGGTTGAACCGACCATCGCCAAACAGTTGGTCCACCACCTCCAGGGCCCAGTCGGTCAGCCCATGGGTCGAGAGCGAGCCGATCAGTATGTTGTAGGTGACGAGGGATGGGGCACGGTCCCCACCATCCATCTCCAGCAGGAGCTCGTTAGCCTCCTCCCACCGCTCCGCATCGCACAAGCTTCTCAGCAGTGTGTTGTAGCTGATCACGTTCGGGCTGAAACCCATGTCCGGCAGGCTGCGGAAGAGACGAATGGCCTCCCCAACTCTACCCTCACTGCACAAACCCTTCAAAATCACATTGTAGCTCACCAAGTTGGGGACTCCCCACAGAGAGGTTAGGGCGTCCAGAAGACTCATGGCCGCGTCCACCCCCTTCTCTTTGCAGGCGGCCTTGATCAGGATGGAGAAGGTGAAGGCGTTTGGGACGAGGCCACCCTTTTGGATCGATTTCTCAACGAAATAGAGTAATTTGTCCACGCCCTCATTCATACAGAGGCCCTCGATGAGGGAGTTGTAGGTCCTCATGTCCGTCGGGTAGCCATGGGCCTCCATGGTGGCGAAGAGCTGCATCGCGTGGCCGACGTTGCCACGGCGGCAGAGGCTGCTGACGAGGAAGGTGTAGGAGGCGGCGTCGGGTATGGAGCCGGATCGGACCAGCATCTCCATGACCCGGGTGGCCTTGAAGGACTTCTTCGATTTGCAGAGGTCGTAGAGGAGCTGGGTGGCGCTTTCCGGGTCGGGGCGGTGGCCCTTGGCGACCATGCGCTCCAGGTAGAAGAAGGCGTCGATGAGCTTGAGCTCCCGGGTCTTGGGGTCTTTTCGTTCGGACCTCCAGTTGGGGAGGGTGAAGGGCGGTCCTCTCGCCGTCGATAATGTTCTTAAAGAAAATGTTTTGTTGGCTGGGGGAGGGCTGAATTTGGGTGCTCCGGCCAGATATCGGGAAGATGCCGGCGAGTAGTAATGGGTTGCCATCAATCACTTAAATTACAAAGTGAAAGTTTCAGATCTCAAATGGAAGAATACTCTGTGTGAGCAAAGCAGCAGATAAGAGATGAGAAGCCGTTTATTTGTCAAGCAATTCCCCTTCCCTATCGTTTTCTGTTCTCAGGAGGTCGGATGTCATCCACAAGTGTTCTACTGGGCCGAGCCCAATGGGCCCTTCTGTATCATGCTTACCCAATAAAATGTCACAAATTTAATGCAACATAAATTTGAATGGCGAATTTATACATATCTAACACTATTTGTGAAAAATTGCATTTTTACATTTCAGCCAATTTTGATTGAATTCTATCAATTTTGTGTCATTTAATTATATGTCTACCTAAATTCTGTTTCCAAAAAATAAAAAAACGGCTCTCCTTAAACTTCGCCCATAATCATTTGAAGTCCGACGAGCGCGAACAAAGTGCTTTGGAATCAGTTGAGCCTCCTTTCTGCATATTTTGTGACCAAATCCATTTTATCGAAA